CTAACATTAATTCTTAAAGAACTAGAAAAAAGAAAAACAAAATCAGCTCTAATCAGCAGAAGAAAAATAATAAAAATTAGAGCAGAATTAAGTGAAATACAGAACAAAAATACTATTCAAAATAATGCAACAGAGAGCTGGTTATTTGAAAAGAATAATAAAATTGACAAACCGCTTGTTAGACTCAATAAGGAAAAAGGGGAAAAGATTCAAATAAAACCAGGAATAAAAGAGAAGTTACCACAGGTCCCAGAGAAATACAAAGGATCAAAGGATCGCAGAAGAATACTATGAAAGACCATATGCCACCAAATTCAATAACCTAGAAGAAATGGGTAAGTTCTGAGAAATATATAACCTTCCTAGACTGAATCACAAACATTTTTGAAATATTTATTCTAGATCTGTGAAATTGCCATTGATATTTTAATAGGAATTGTGTTGACCTACAAATTGCTTTGGGTAGTTTGGACATATTAATTATGTTAATTATTTCAATACATGGACATTGTATATGCTTCCACTTCTTTGTATCTTTCTCTATTTCTTTTTTCAATGTCCTTTAGTTTTTTGAGTACAGGTATTTTACCTCCTTGGTTAAGTTTATTTCTAGGTACTTTATTTTTTGTTTTTGTTGCAATGGTAAATGAGACTGTTTTCTTAGTTTTTCTCTGAGTTCATTATTAGTATATAAAAATGCCACTGTTCATGAAAAACGAAAAATAACAAAAATAAAATGCCACTGATTTGTGGATATTAATTTTGTATCCTACTACTGTGCTGAATTCATTTATTATATCTAATAGTTTTATGGTGGAGTCTTCAGTTTTTTTTGTGTACAATATCATGTAATCTGCGAATAATGACAGTTTTCCTTCCTCTGTTCCAATTTGGATGCCTTTTATTTATTTTTTTTCTTATCTGATTGCTATGGATAGGACTTCCAGCACTATGTTGAATAAGAGTGGTGAAACAGACATGCCTGTGTTGTTCTTGACCTCTCAGTCTGTGTGTATCTTTTATTCTTTTTATTTTATTATCTTTTATTTTTCCATTTTTAATGAAGGTATTACATGTGTACATATCTTTCAATTGCCCCCCCCCCCCGATTCCCATACATGCCCTCACCCAACAGTGTATTGCGTTCATTGGTTATGCTTATATGCATGCATACAAGTCCTTCGGTTGACCTCTTATCTTCCCCATCTCTCCTTAACCTTCCCGCTGTAATTTGACAGTCTGTTTGATGGTTTGCTGCCACTGTAATTCTATCTTTTTGTTCATCAGAATATAATGTTCTTTATCCATAAATGAGTGAGATCATGTGATATTTTTCTTTCAATGACTGGCTTATTTAACTTAGCATAATGCTCTCCAGTCCCATCCAGGTTGTTGCAAATGGTAAGAATTCCTTTTTTTAAGGCAGCATAGTATTTCATTGTTTTCTGATCCAGTCATCTGCTGACAGGCATCTAGGCTGTTTCCAAATCTTAGCTATTGTAAATTGTGCTACTATAAACATAGGGGTGCATATACCCATTCTGATTTGTGTTTCTAGTTTCTCAGGATATATTCCTAAGAGTGGGATTACTGGGTCAAATGGAAGTTCCATTTCTAGTTTTTTTGAGAACATTTCATACTATTCTCCATAGTGGCTGCACCAGTATACATTCCTTCCAGCAGTGCATGAGAGTTCTTTTTTCTACGCATCCTTGCCAGCATTAGTTGATTTGTTGATGATGGCCATTCTGACAGGTGTAAGATGGTACCACATTGTCGTTTTGATTTGCATCTCTTGGATAATTAGTGATTTTGAGCATGTTTTCATATATATCTTAGCCTTCCTTCTGTCATCTTTTGAGAAGATTCCATTCAGGTCCGGTGCCCATTTTTTATTGGATCATTAATCTTCCTTTTGTTAAGTTGTATGTGTTCCCTGTAAATGTTGGAGATTAAACCCAATGATAAGTTGATAACATTTGCAAATATGTTTGCTCATATAGTGGGCTTTCTTGTTGTTTTGTTGATGTTTATTTTTTTTTATTAAGGTATTATATGTGTACATATCTTTCCATTGCCCCCCCACGCCCATACATGCCCCCCCCCAGAGTTTGTCGTCCATTGGTTTTGCTGATACGCATATATACAAGTCCTTCAGTTGATCTCTTATCTCCCCCATATCTCCCTATTCTCCCCGCTGTAATTTGACAGTCTGTTTGTTGCTTTACTGTCTCTATATCTATCTTTTTGTTCATCAGTTTATAATGTTTTTTATTATCCATAAATGAGTGAGGTCATGTGGTGTTTCCTTTCATTGACTGGATTATTTCACTCAGCATGATGTTCTCCAATTCTATCCAGGTTGCTGCAAATGATGAGAATTCCTTCTTTTTTATGGTAGCATAGTATTCCATTGTGTAGATGTACCATAGTTTTTGATCCAATCATCTGCTATGGGCACCTAGGCAGAGAGGCTCATGGATCAGATTAGGAGCTGCAAAGTGTTGAGGTAGGGAGACTGTCGTGCATAGAGAGGAAGGGCAGCTGAATGCCTGGCAGGCAGAAGGGGAAAGGAAGTCTCCGATTGCACTGAACCCTTTCCGACTGCACTGAACCCCAACCCTGGCCAAAACTCCGTGGACTCAGGCTCATACAGGTGGAGTCTGGACTGTAGAGAAAGGCACCCAGAGACTCAGAGACTGGGAGACTGAGGGAGCCAGGAGCCATAGCGGGCAAGGTCTACAGTTGCGCATGCTAGTGAGTGCACACTGAGAGGTCTGACTGTGGAGGTTGCCACGGCCTCTCCATAGCAGAAGGAGTCAGAAGCTTCAAACTACAGAGACCCAACCCAATTCCAGGCAAGCCCCTGGGGCACCCACGCTCTTGCATGGGAAATCTAGATGGTCAGCCGAAAACTCAGGGGAGCCATGGAAGGCAGAGGTCAGGTGGAAACTCAGGCATGCACAAGGGCAGGGCTGACAGGAAGCCAAGACTATCTGCTCAGCCCTAAGACTCCGCCCCACCCAAGCTGAGCACAGAGCCTTTTGCAGTTTTGCAAGTCTTGACTCATAAGGCTGTCTCCAATACAGAAGGATCCCAGAGTAGACACAGCTGATACATCCAATAGGCCTGGAGATCAATTCCTCCCAGTGATACCAACAACAATCAAGACTTAACTACAACAAGGCTGTACACACAGTCCACAAAGGGGAGCACCAAGAGTGTCTACCTCAGGTAATTGGGGAGGCTGACCCACTGGGCCATATGGGACACCAAACACACAAAGCAATCCTGCCAACTCTGGGAAGCAGCGAAAATGCCGAGACAAGGAAAGAGATGGAGGCGAACAAAAGACTGGATAAAGAGTTTAAAACCATGGTTATAAGGTTTTTCAAGAATTTCTTAGAAAAGGCCAATAAATTTAATGAGACCCAACAATAAATTAAACATAAACTGACTGAAATAAAAAATATTATATAGAGACCCAATAGCAGACTGGAGGAATACAAGAATCAAGTCAAAGACTTAGAATACAAAGAACCAAAGGACACTCCTCTGGAGAAGCAAGAAGAAAAGAGAATCCAGAAAGTTGAAGATAGTGTAAGGAGCCTCTGGGACAACTTCAAGTGGACCAACATCAGAATTATGGGGGTGCCAGAGAAGAGAGAGAACAAGATACTGAAAACCTCTTTGAAGAAGTAATGACTTATGGGCCTAGCCAGTGGCCATGGACAATAGGGGGTGGGAGTGTATGTGGGGAGGGGTTTTGGATGGGAATGGGGGGATGAAGACAATTATGTGATACCATAATCAATAAAATTTAAAAAACAAACAAACAAATAAATAAATAAATAAAAAGAAATAATGACTGAAAACTTCCCCCACCTCGTGAAAGAAATAGACTTACAAGTCCAGGAAGCACACAGAACCCTAAACAAAGGGAATCCAAAGAGGACCACATCAAGACACATCATAATTAAAATGCCAAGGGCAAATGACAAAGAGAATCTTACAAGCAGCAAGAGAAAAGCATTTGGTTACCTATAAGGGAGTACCCATATGACTATCAGCTGATTTCTCAACAGAAACTATGCAGGCCAGAAGGGAGTGGCAAGAAATATTCAAAGTGATGAATAGCAAAACCTACAACCAAGATTATTCTACCCAGCAAATTTATCATCCAGAATTGAAGGTCAGATAAAGAGCTTCACAGATAAAAAAAAAAAAAAAGCTAAAAGAGTTCATCACCACCAAACCAGTATTATATGAAATGCTGACAGGTATTATTTAAGAAGAGGAAAAAGAAGAAAAAAGTTAAAAATTATGATCAACAAATACATATATATCAGCAAGTGAATCTAAAAATCAAGTGAATTAAAAATCTGAGGAACAGAATAAACTTGTGAATATAATATAATCAGGGGCAAAGAAAGGGAGTGGATTGATAATTATCAGGGGGAAAGGGGTGTGGGGTGTGCAGGAAGAGACTGGATTAAAATCATACACCTATGAATGAGGACAATGGTGGGGGGGAGGTAAGGGCAGAGGGTGGGGGAGAGTGAGTGAAAGGAGCTATGGGGGGAAAAGAAGAAACAATTGTAATAATCTGAGCAATAAAGATTTATTTAAAAAATAAAGTAATGGAATCCTCACAACAACACTAAAAAAATAATAAGAAATAAATAAAAATGTAATAATTAGTAAGGTAAAATCAAGTGAGGAAAAAAGAAAAAAAATAGTTTCTTAAGTAAATGATGAAAAAAAAAAAAAAAGTCCTGTTGTGAAGGTTATTCACTTCCTCTACTGTTCTGTGTGGCACGCCTGTTTCCTAGTCAGGACAGTATTGAAGTTCCCTGCATTCCACTGCTCCTTTGTGCTGCAAACCACAGTCCTGATTTTCAAGCAGACAGTACTTCTTTGTTTCTTTTATTCTTTTATTTGTGTTTACACAAGAGTCAATTTGTGACTCAACCCCTGGGTGGCAGTGTTTCTGGGTTGACCTCCCGCTCTATAAGTTCTCTCTAGCTAGTGTTTAGATTTTGTTTTCCTTGTGGCACTTAATACCAGTTTGGGGGAATGGGCTGCCCCAGAGTTGGTTTTCTGATCATTATTCCCCACTCTGATCCCCAGGTTCCACAAAACAAAACAAAACAAAAAAAACAACTTTTCCCTGCAGTCTCTTAGAGTGTCCCCAATTGGGTGATCCTATGTATTGGGCTGAGTAATCAAAAGCAAGGATTTAAAGAGGGAAAAGAAAGAAAGAAAGAAGAAAGAGAGAGAGAGAGAGAGAGAGGAGAGAGAGAGAGAGAGAGAGAGAGAGAGAGAGAGAGAGAGAGAGAGAGAGAGAGAAAGAAAGAAAGAAAGAAGAAAGAAAGAAAGAAAGAAAGAAAGAAAGAAAGAAAGAAAGAAAGAAAGAAAGAAAGAAAGAAAAAAGAGTCAGAGTAAGTGTGTGAACTCCGGTGCTGCTTGCAAGTCTGTGCAGTATTTTTTCCCCCTTGGGTCTAAGCAGAAGGCACACTGTTAGAATTTGTAGGCTGTCCTTTTGTGTCCAGTTTATCTATGTAATGCTTTTTAGAGTTCCCTTCGGTTAGCACCCCTTCCACATTCGCTGATCACACTAGCCCTAACAAACGCGGATTTTTTTTTTTTTTTTTAGGGGGGGTGCAGACTTCCCCAGATCCTCTAGTTTCTGTTGTGCGCATTTCTCTTTCCTTCCTGGACAACAAACCTCACCTTATCTTAGGCGAAATCTGACCTTTCCGTGAGAAGGTGCAGAGTTCCTCTGAGTCTGCCTATTTGCTTTGCTTGGGATCTGAAGTTCCTGGGTTCGCAGGGTTCACTGGGTGATGTTATTGTAGATTCCTGGGATTTTTAGGCTTCCTATAAGATACACTCTCTCCTTCAAGATGGCGTGGTCTTTGTATCAGAGCTGGATGCTCTGGGAGGGATTTCAGCAGCAGTGGAGGCTGCCTGGTCAGGGGAACACCATCTGGCAATCTCCTGCAGTACCTTGGAGTATAGCTGTCCCTCAACTCACAAATAAAACTCACCTTGTGACCACACACTCTTCTTTTATTCTCTCACTCACGCATGATCTTGCAGTCTGCCTTCCTATTGGCAGCCATCTTGAACTCCTCACAAATGTTCTTAATAGCATCTATAATGGTAATCCTTTCCAAAAGGTTTTAGATTTACTTTGCCTATATCCATCAGAAGAATCATTATCTAGGATAGAGTTTTACAAAGTGTATTTCTTAAATAATAAGACAAAAACAGTATCTGTGAAGCACAAATAAACAATGATGCATACACACACACACACACATATATACAGTAAAAGTATAAAGCAATTTATGGTGAGTACAGAGTGGGGCAAAAGTAGGTATTCAGTTGTGAGTACATGAAACACAGAGTTTATTCTTATATTATTATTTATTAATTAGTTCGTTATTTTCCACATTAACAATTGTAAACATACCTTTGCTCCACCATGTATAAACACCTCATTCCGATAATTAGTTACACCTGAGGGGGAAGGGAGGATAATGTATTTAAGGGGAATATCCACTGCTTGGGGTGGGAGTCCAGGCCAGACGATTATTATCCTAACATACTAATTAAGTCAAATAACAAAAACTGTTATTTTCAAATACTAGTTATGGAACATTATTTTCAATAAAATAATGATTACCCCTATTCTGAAATGACTATTTTTACTTCTTTCTTATTTTAATATATGTAATTCATATTATGAGCTACCTTTTTAAATGGCTACAATTCTATGCTGAGAAAGCCAGTGGACAAAACTGATTGAGGTTAGAGCAAAAGGACCACAATGCACATACATATAATGTTCCTCAAGCAGTGGCCTGGATCTCAGAAGTAGACAGTGTGTTCCCAGTGTATATCATCTCCCTGAAGACAGAAGGAACCATCACAGCTCAGTAGTGGTAAGTCCTGTATAGATGCCAGACTACTCTCTTCCCAGTAGAGCACCCATAAAGTGTCTGTGCAGGAGGAAATAAGGTAGATACAGGATCAGTGTAGAGGGAGGGTTCTGCACTACACATAACACATTTGCAACATAATTTACACATAATTATTATGCCATTAATTTCTATGTAAGTAAATTTGACTAATGGAAAGAGTCATGTACACATATACACAGTGATTCAAAGGTAATTAAAAGAAGGAAAATGAATAGCAATGAAACATATGTAAAACTAGAGGCCCACTGCACAAATTTGTGCACCAGTGGGATCCCTCAGCCTGGCCTTTGGGATTGGGCTGAAACCAGCTCTCTGATATCCCCCAAGGGTCCAGGATTACGAGAGAGCACAGGCCAGTCTGAGAGACCTCACCAGTGCACAATCAGGGATGGGGAGCCATATTGGAGGTTGGCCAGAAAGGGAGAGATTGCAGGAGGGTCCAGCGCATGCCTGGCCCATCTCTCTCAGTCCTGATTTCACAGACCCCAGCAGCAAGCTAACCTACCAATCAGAGAGTCTGCCCCCTGGTGGTCAGTGCACATCATAGCAACTGTCCTTTAGCTTTTTCTTATATGTGAAGCTCTTTTCTGACCATCAATTCTAAATGATAGCTTTGCTGGATAGAGTAATCTTGGTTGTAGGTTCTTGCTGTTCATCACTTTGAATATTTCTTGCCACTCCCTTCTGGCCTGCATAGTTTCTGTTGAGAAATCAACTGACAGTTGTATGGGTACTCCCTTGTAGGTAACTAACTGTTTTTCTCTTGCTGGTTTTAATATTCTCTCTTTGTCTTTTGCCCTTGACATTTTAATTATGATGTGTCTTGGTGTGGTCCTCTTTGGATTCCTTTTGTTTGGGGTTCTGTGCGCTTCCTGGACTTATAAGTCTATTTCTTTCACGAGGTGGAGGAAGTTTGCAGTCATTATTTCTTCAAATAGGTTTTCAGTATCTTGCTCTCTCTCTTCTTCTGGCACCCCCATAAATCTGATGTTGGTATGTTTGAAGTTGACCCAGAGGCTCCTTACACTATATTCAACTTTTTGGATTCTTTTTTCTTTTTGCTTTTTTGGTTGAGTGTTTTTTGCTTCTTTGTATTTCAAATCTTTGACTTGATTCTTGTGTTTCTCTAGTCTGCTGTTAGGTCTCTGTATAATATTTTTTTATTTAAGTCAGTATATGTTTAATTTCTAGTTGTTCCTTTTTCATATTCTCAAGGGACTCACTAAATTTATCAGCCTTTTCTAAGAAATTCTTGAAAAACCTTATAACCATTGTTTTGAACTCTATACCCAGTCATTTGCTTTCCTCCATTTCTTTTGTTTGTGATCTGTTTCTTTGTCTCCACATTTTTGCTGCTTTCCTGAGTTTGTAGAGTATCTTTGTGTGCTATGTGTCCTATATGGCTCAGTGGCTCAGCCTCCCTAATTACCTGAGGTGGACACTCTTGGAGCACCCCTTTATGGACTGTATGTATAGCCTTGTTGTAGTTAAGTCTTGATTGCTGTTGGTATCACTGGGAGGAATTGACGTCCAGGCCAATTGGCTGTGAGGATCAGCTGTGTCCATGCTGGGAGAACTTCTGTGCTGGAGACAGCCTTATGAGACAAGACTTGCAAAACTGCAAAAGCCTCTGTGCTCAGCTTGGATGGAGTAGAGTCTCCAGGCTAAGCAGACAGTCTTGGCTTCAGTGTCCCTGGGTCTCAGTGTCCCTCAGTAATTGCTGCAAGCATCTCTGCTAGAAAGCCACCCTTGAGTTCTTCCCTGGATCCAGATAGTCCAGTTTCTTCCAAGAGACTCACCAGGAACTGAAGTTCAGAGCATTTGAGAGCTTGTATCTCCCTACAGATTGAAAAAGACAACCTCATCCTCAGTTGCCAGCCCTTTCCATGTGCACACCTCTATACCTCTGCACTTTACTTTTGCATCTCCTCTAAGTCTCAATGTGCTTTTCTCTTTTCTTCTAGTTGTAGAATTTCCACTCAGCCAGCCTTCCTGTGGTTGTGGATGATATCCGTTTTGTCTTTTAGTTGTAGTTTTGAAGTGGTTGTGTGAAGCAGCAAGTTCAGGTGTTCACCTATGCTGCCACCTTGGTTTATCCTCTGACTTCCTTCTGGACAAAGCCACAGTGGCAGGGGCCAAGGCAGAGATGGTTAGGGATGATCAGGCCAGCAGGGGAGCAAGCAGTTAAGGGCACTATCAGACTGGCACAGGGGAGCAAGCAGTTATGGGCACAATCATGCTGGTGTGATTGAGCAAGCAGTTAGGAGGTGATCAGGATGGCAGGAAGAGGCAGTTAGGGGCAACCAGGCAGGCAAGTGGTTAGGAGCCAGTGGTCCCAGATTGTGAGAAGGATGTCCAACTGCTGGTTTAGGCCCGATCCCTAAATTAGCAGTAAGACATCCCCTGAGGGGTCACAAATTGGAGACGTTGTAGGCCAGACTGAGGGACACCCTCTCCCAGTGCATGAATTTCATGCACCACACCTCTAGTAACTATATAAACAAGATACAGAACATTATATACAACATTATATAATTTTGAAGAATATATATTTTCATAAGAATATACATATATTAATATTTAAAATATAAACAAACCTACACAGGAGCTATGGAGAATATTAACCTACCTAGAGAATATTAACAAATATATTCAGTGGTTATGTTGAGGTGGGAAATAGAAATTGAAGAGGAGATATACAAAATAATTTCTCTTATAAATGTATATCTCATAGTTTTTCCAGGGGCTTGGGGGAACATGTACACTGATTTTTGTTTTAGAGAATAGCTTATTCATTTTTAGAAAGGAAGGGATATGAAGAGAAAGATAAAATACCAATGTGAGAGAGAAACATCGATCTGCTGCCTCCTACATGTCCCAACCTGGGATCTAGCCCACAACTCAAGAAAATGCCTTTGACCAGGAGAAGAACCCTGGCAGCCTCCTGGTGCACCAGATGACGCCCAACCAACAGAAACAGGGCCACAGCTACACTAATTTTTAATTGCATAATAACT